ATGAACATAGACTGTAAATCATGAACATGAATTTTTAACTCTGTACTGTATAGGGCTGCTCCAGTATCAACTGGTCCCGCAAGTACAGAGTAATTAGCTGATCTCGATCTTTGAAAATCATAACTTGAAATATCATGACTGATAAAATACCTGACATGACTGACTTGAAAGGTTGTTATTACTTGAAATCATATTACTCCAGTTTCAGCTTCAAGCCTCCATGGTATACCCGGCTGAATGGCTCTTATTTCAAGCCTCCATGGTAACCCGGACTATTGACTCTTATACACTGGAAACCGTTACCTTTACAATGACTTGAGAATTATAACAACCTTTAACATGAAAATTTTAGCCTTGAACATGATTTACTGATCTGACTTAGGAAATTTGAGTCTATTCCTCGAATTGAATCAAGGAATTTATCCCTGAAGTCTGCCAATTAATGGCGACTTTTGATAGAAAATATCTGAGGAACATGATTGCTAAGATTTGTACAACAAAAGTGCTTGCAAATCTCCTGACAAGTTGCTAACTTGACTTGAATAAATCTAGAATTGAATCTAGAGTTTTCAAACTTAATCCTTTTTAAAGGTTCTGAATCCACTCGTCCACGATACGGGGATCTCAGCATAATAGTCGCGAGACTGTGCGACTACTGTGGCCTGAGTAAGAACCGGGTGATTGGGTTCCCTACGGGGCGGCATCTGATCATTGAGAAAGTTCAACATTTTTGAACACATGATAAAATACTCTGACTGATTACTAAAGCACACAAATCTCTTGACGAGTTGCCAAAAATGACCTGATAAATACTGACATGAATCCTGAGGAACTCTAGAGTCATATAGGAAGATACTGAATTCTAGAGTCATATCTGAATATACTGAATTCTAAAGTCTGAACCTGATTCGAGCATCTTAACTAAGTCCTGATTAATAATTTCTGAGCATAGACAAAGTAATATGTTTATAACTGAAAACTAAATCAGCACTTACCTGTAGTCGGCGAGGCGTGAGCGTGACGGTTCAGGTTTTTTTTTCTGAAGATATTCTGACTGATAAACTTTTCAGAGACGCAGAAACGTGCTCTGATACCATTTGTAACACCCCGCTATTTTACTGAAATCAGAGTACGCTTTTTCGCAAATTTTCTGAATAAAATAGATAAAATATTTATTTTTTGCGAAAACTGATTCGGAGTGCTACCGTGAAAAACTTGACTTATCTGAAAACCATTAAATTTTAAACTGATAATAAACGGTTAAAATATATATTAACCGACTAGCATCGGACCAAAAACTGAGTTTAAATACTGAAAGTTTTAGCGGAATAATAGCATGGCCAAAACATATATATACATATCCATAAATATCCTGAACTGCCCACCAGCTCACTCCTCGTCCCTGACTCTGTGATCTGAAAAACATGAAATACGTGGGGGCGTGAGCACTAAGGCACTGTGCTCCGCAGAAACTCAAACTAAAGTAAAACAGTGAATATAATAACAATATCATGATCCTGGCATATATAACTGAACTAAAACTGAAACTGAAACTGATATCTGATACCGGTCTGAATAATCTGATACTGATCTCGTGACATAAGTCATGTAACTTATAACTGAACATCTGCCGGCAAAAACTAATACCGGACACCATGTGCACACTCTAGTGGGTAGATTAGGGCCAATAGAACCCAGAATGGACCGACGACCATTCCGAGTGGATACTGAACTGATAATACAAACCTCAAACATGGTGCGTAATTATAAACAATGTAGTACTTAGTCTGAGTCCCCACCTGAACTGCTGAAACTGAAGGTAGTGCTGATGCCTGATCAAACTGAAATATAATATAAACAATTACTACAGACTATGCTCAGACTGAAAAATTAACTGATTAATTATGTTAAGATGCTCTACTGAACCTGACATGATATTCGGACTTAATCGGTATAACTGAAACCGGTTAAGTACGAAACTAAACTGATATTAATTAACTGAACTGAACCCGGAATTATAACTGAAACTGACACTGAAATCATGAACCGGGACTGAACACTAAAAATATGGGCTGAACCCGGTCCAACCGATCTGAACCGGTCTGGACCGGACTGGACCGAACTGCTGGTTTGCTGAACCGGC